AAGCCGAGTCCGAGTTCCCCATGAAAAGTAATGTTCGTCAGGGTTGCCCTCTTTCTCCTTTTCTATTCAACTTTGTTATAGATTTGATTGTGAAAGCAGCCCTATCCCCGTGCGAAGATAGCGGTATCAATTTATTCTCAAGGGGCAGAATGTCTGATCTAGATTATGCAGACAAAGGTGTGCTACTAAGTGAAGATCCAGGTAAGTTGCAAGCTTTTTTGGATAACTTGAATGCCAGCGTAGTATCGGCATGCGTTTTGCACCTTCAAAGTGTAAAATGTTACAAGCATCGAGCCTCACTCTCACTGGGGAACTAATAGAGCAAGTGGATAAGCTTTTGAGTAAAGAAGCCAAAAGGACAGGTTTGCACAATGTATCCTGTATCATTTTGCTGCTTCTTCACACTTGCATAATGCATACCGGATAAGTTTTGTTATTTGGGCAGCTACATCTCACCTGCTGGACGCGTCACAGATGTGTCGACGTGCATACAAGAAGCTCGGTTGGCATTTGTCAACTCGAGACATTTGTGGTGCCGTCGCGACATCCAGCTGTCCGTGAACCATCGATTGCATGCTGCAGCAGTTCGGCTGGTGCTGCTCTACGGTGCAAACTTGGCCATTACGGGAACAGGACAAACATAGACTGTCGGTGTTTGAACACCGCTGTATACGTCGCATTGCATGAGTCGGGTGAGGTAACCGAGTGAGCAATGCTGAGGTTAGGCTTAGTTTTGGCAGTCGCGGTCGTTCACTAGAGCAAGTTATCGACCTCCATAGATTACGCTGGTTGGGGCATGTGTTACGCATGTCACTAGATAGGTTGCCACGGCGTACGATGTTTGCCAAGGCTGGTAGCGATTGGAAAAAAACAAAGGGCGGTCAAGCTAAGACCTGGCATGAGGGTATGAAAACCCTAACCAGGAGACTAGGTCACATAGGTCCCGTTAGGCTCCCTGGCTGGGGACCTCGGGATGATGGTCACCGATGGTTAGCTACACTGAGTGATATGGCTGGGTGTCGCAAACAGNCACCACTCTATATGTATTCCCCATCTTCTACTTGAATTTGCTTCGACATTCCAATCTTCATTTCGCTCTTTTATCCAAATGGGCAACCAAAATGAAAGTGCATGATTAATGGTTTTAAAAGCTGAAAACTGAAACTGCAAAGGGATCGTAAGTGGTCACGAAAGTTATGTTTTCCTCTCGCCTTGATCCATCATTTGGAAATAGTTGTTTCGTTTTAAGGATTTACTCATGTTTTTGATTGAGTTAGCCTCTGTCCGGTTGTGCCGGCTTCTTTCTTGCTAATGTTGTTGCCCACGAGTTAGTGCAATGCTTCTATTCGGTCTCAGGAATTTCGCTGAGGAAATGCTGTTTTTTTCAGTTGGATCTGAATGCATGACCGCTCTTAGTCGGATAAATTTTATCATTTATTCTCTCCGCTCCTATTTCGCAGGTATGCCGGACCCCTTCACAGCAGCCGTGGCAGCTGCTGTAACTGGTAGTTCGGCAGCTCAGGCGGAATACTATCAAGCATATCAACAATACTACCAGCAGTACTACGCATCTCAATATGCGGCCCAGTTTTACGCTGCGAGCAGTGCCACGGACACATCCACCACCTCTGCTGGGCTCACAAGCATTTCGGGGGATCGAGGAACCACAACATCATCTTCGAATCACGAATCGATTGTGCAACAAAATGCGGTCCTTGACGAGGTGGCCTCACAGTTATACGCTCGCGCATTACAACGCGCTCATGGTCGTGGTTCACAGGAATATGCACCCGGTAAGTGATCGCTGTCGGTCTAGAAAATGCGAAAACGGTTTGTATAGGTAAATTGAAATATAGTCTAATTGGCTGCCCGATGATCAAGTGGGTGGCATGTTAACGTTCTACCTGTGGGCTCCCGCGTTCGAACCCCAGTTAGGTTGATAGATTCGCACTGACGGTAAAGATGCAATAGGGTCAAAGCAGATAGACAGTACTTCCTAGCTTTCCAGCTCACTCTTCGCTTGCTTTCCACACGATGAAATTCCCCATATAATCTGTCGATAGTTTATTTGTGACTGGCTTCCGTATATCCACCAATCGTTCTGTTAGTTTATGTTGTAGTGATGTACATAAGGACAATATGGGTCTCAAAGGAATGGTGCTAATCTTATATAGTTTTGGAATGCCATCGACTAAAGAAGCGTTCAGCATCAAACGTCTACAATTTCTTCCTTTACTTTCGTCCTTTTTTGACCGAAACACAAATCTCCCCTTGGCAGACACCACCCACCTTTAGGTACCCAACTAAACTTTCCACTCCTCTTTTCTATCAAAGCTGGTGTCCACTATCCGTCTGCAGAATCTCAAATTTTGACTTTTTCACTCGTGAATTTCAGCTGGCGTGGCTGAAGCTCCGACTTCCTTGTTGTAACCATTACTTTTATATTCTATATCGTTTCCCCAATAATGGCGACTCTTCCATCTCTGACATTTTTTTAATCTTCGAACATTAAATGGTTGTTTGTGACCGACTCTAACTTCCATATTACCATCTTGAGAGATTTTAACGTTCATAATCACGATTGTTTGACATGCATATGCAACTTTTTTGCTTTCGGGCGCGAAACCGAGCGTTTCGCTTTGGTTAACAGCGTGAGCCAACTAGCTGATCTCCCACACGTGTCCCGGATCGAGCTGGCGACCTTGTCCACACCTTCGATTTAATTCTCTGTTCAACTGCTTCCTTCATCTCAGATACTTGCACTCTCCCTTGTCCGATCACTGTATTGATTCTTGCTCTATTATGTTTAGCAACCCCGCTCCGCCACCCACCTCGGGACTCACATTCTGACACTACAGCCCAGACAAATGGTACGGTTTCCGTGACTTAATAGCTTCTTACTCCTAGAACGATTGGTGTTTAACTTCGGATATCTCGAATCTGTTTCCAGCTTCACCGACATTATTCTTCAAGGTATTCATCTTTTTATTCCGCACTTTCCTCACCTCAATCCCCGAGTGGTTTAACCACGCATGTGATCATGCTGTAGGCCTAAAGCGCTCAGCCTTCTGCCGCTAGCTCACTCCCAGGTCCCATCATAGCTTCGTTCAACTTACGAACAGATGCTCGACAACCATTCAGGGGACCAAAAGACGCTCCGTTCGTTGTAAAGCCGAAAACTTGGTTTCATTCGCCACCAGTAACCGAAAATTTGGATCACTTGTCAAACAAATTTCTTGTAGTTCCTACTCTNCCAACTCCCCCCCCCCCCTTTCCTCTGGTGATCTTGTGTGTCAATCACACCAGAACGCTGTTTTTGCTTCCCGGTTTGCCGACAACTCCATCTAATCTAATTATCCTACTCCTCCAGCTTCGACTTATTTCACTGGAAACCGTATTCTACCTGATATTAGCACTAGGAAAATTCGCTTAACATTGTGCATCAGTATTCTTAGAATACCGATAGACAATATAGAAAAACGCTTTGATGAAGAAAATTCTTTTATATTGTATCAGGTGATTACAATGTGAAAGAATCATAATAGTACGGACATCTGATAGACCGGTTTTAATTAAGGCTTTACCCTTTGAGAGAGGTGAGCAAACGAGTGTCCAAAGGCTGGGAACAATCAATGGTAAAGTCCAGGGAAATAATAGTAAATAGGTGAAGTGAGATAAATAAAATGGTAATAAATGTTGTAAACTAAGGAATATTATTATTGTTTCATATTTTTATAAGGCCAAACTGTGTGCCAAACAAATCATGGTACAATAATCTGTATAAAAAAAGAAAAAAACATCCCATGATTGACTTGTGAACTGAATAATGCCATTTTACCCAGGCCAAGACAGGCGAAGTTTCTTGAGGAATCCATAACCGAAGCCTTCGGCTAGTCAAAGCCTGACCCGGGGTGGTGTATGAAAATCGCAATCCACTGGGAGCCGGTATCCAGTTCATCGGATCATACGCTCTTCGGAAGGGGTCAAACGTCCAAGATGTCTGATCGAGCCGGTGACCACAACGGGGAAGTTGTGTATGGGTGAACTACCAGTAGTCCACCGACCCGGTTATAGCCCCGGATATCGGCTTTTCGTCTTTTCACTTCGGTCAGAAAACACCGGCACGAGAAGGCAATGAGTAGGGCTTCTTCAGCAGAGGCTATTTGAGACGCTTTTGGTGAGGTGCAAGGGATGGGTGACTACCCTCAACTCTAGACACCCACCCCCGACCATACTGAGGGTTTTGGAGAGAGATGATGCCACTCTCGGAACTATAGATCCTACATAACACGTGATGTAATCGGAGGACGACAAAAGTAATCAACGATTAAAATGTGGTAGATAATACAGTAGTGAGAGATGGCTCTGTCGTCACCCGACTTACTACATACACTCCTGATCTATTGCAAGTTAATTTGGTCCGCTACTCCAAGTCTCTGGATCATGGCTGCCGGATTCCTCCTCACAACACAAAATCAAGGACGCGTTCACTCACTCGTATGGCAAACACTTACTCATCACCCTCGCGAACTCAGCCGCAAGATTGATTCCAAACGCTACTTTCTTCTCTTCTCACACTATTTTTATCCTCCGTTTATATCTTTTCACATGCATTTGTAGTGTGCGCTACATTGGACACAATCAAACAATTATCAAAACGTATTGCTGATCCCTCTGTCCCGCAGACTTCTACAGTCCAGGTGCACTCGCAGCTCAGTTCTCGTTCATCTCGTCAGCAGTGAACACATTTTAACAAATTTGATAACTCCAAAATATTTCACACTGTAGCTAGAAACTATTGTAAACGAATAATATAGAGCTTTTTAACCACGGCGATTCCGATTCGCATTTTCAACCTTGAAAAATGCTTGCAAAAGGATCTAAACCAAACACTGTGCTTACCCAAGCCTGGATACCGGAGCTGTTGCCCATAAAGCAGAGCATCTCCCCCCTTATCTTTCTTAATACCCATCATGAAGAGACTGCGCCTGACTGGCTTGCGTGCCCCTTTGGCCCCATGAGCTAAACAAGGTGGCTTTTCACAGCCTGAAAGGTCAATGGATAGAGGCGAAACAAAATGCAGACTCCTTGAACAACGGAGTGAAACAGGCAAGGAATGTTGATGGTAGAATGGTTGTCCTGGTTACTACCTCAGCAATCAATTAATCAATACCCAGGGGAAAAACTTGAAATGTTTGCAGCAAGTAGATAGCCTCTTGCACCATACGATGGAGATAGGATACTAACAGTGAGCCAAGTGATAAGATGAATGTTCACAACACGACAACAATGTGCATCAGTTTTCATTCGAGAAAAACACTGTCTCCTCAGACCACTTCCATGCAAATATGCTCATTTACTTGCTCTTGGATGAACAGGTAGAGGGAAGATTGGAATGTTCCAATCAGATCCAGGGTGTAAATATAAAATTCATGAAGGCTTATGTTGCGGGAATAATGTCCTGATACCCGAGCATCACTGTTTGGAACACATCTCTGTCACTTGGTGTCTCTAACCATTGATCACAATGATCCCAGTATACCCATCCCTGGCCTATGTGAGCAATTCTCCTGGTTAGGGTTTTCATAATTTAGTCACATATCCACCAGTCCTCTGATTTATGCCTAGTGACTGGAACAATGCTTATTTTTTATTTATTTATATTTTACATTTGTCTGATAACAAACTGCGTGCCAGGCAAATCATTGTACAATAATCTGTATAAAAAAGAAAAACATTCCATGATTGACGAATCATGGAACAACGCTGTAACCGAGACTATCCCCAAATGTTGNACGTACCACTAAATCTCTCAACTGCTCCAAAGAGCTCGGTGAACGGACATTGTGGTACTCGCTGGAGAATTCAGTGCTCAAGTGGGATCCCTGGAGGAATCAGAGAGGTTACTTGGTGGTCCGCATGCAATCCCAACCAACGGGACTGACGACGGAGAACGCCTACTCCAACTTTGTGCTGACCACGGACTGTTTCTGTCAAGCACGAACTTCTCGCACAATTTTTGACACCGCCTTACATGGAGACCGCCAACTTCTTCACAGCGCTGGAC